ACGTCTGAATTTGTTTAAATTATTTATTTTACCCATTGAAAATTAGTGTTGAATTTATAAATAAATTTATACAATTTCACATATTTATTCATCATCATTACAAAGTTTACATCTAAATTATATAACTAGCATTCATTTAAAAGAAAATATGTCATTAACGGTATTTAACACATTTAAATCCTATTAAAATTCATCAATTGAGAGAGGTGATGATTGATTTGGTAATGATCGATTAACATTAATTATTGAGAAAAGCGTTGTTGAGGGTTTGAAGAACAATAAGTATATTAATAAAAGGCTGATTTACCTCTTACAAGATAAGATAACAATAAAACATAAGTGTCTCTGAAAAATTGATAAAATAAACAATTTAAGGGGCCGTTTACTTAAATGTTTACCCGGTAAGTGCTTACCGATAGGATTCAACATTATGATTTATTTTGATACGTAAGATTTTAGTACATCAAAACATATTGAATGCAACAAGTTTCTAGGTAAGTGCTTATCTGGGTAAGAGTCACGATCTTTACTTACCGGGTAAGACTCTCTATCATTTTCATTGCTCTTACCCGATAAGATTCTTGGCCCTTCTCATGTTCATTCGATAAGGAAATTTATCCGGTAAGCACTTACCAAGTAAGTGTTTAGTAAACGGCCCCTAAATGACTCTATCTCTTAATGAATCAGACATAAGATATTCATAAGTGTTTTTTTATAGAAAACCAATAAGAACTAAGTGTTACAATCATGTAAAAAATCATGAATATAATACATGCCACTTTGACTAGAGCATTAAAACAGACGCGATACACATCAGTCGCTTATTCTTTGTATTTGCCTTTTTTTCTCCTATACTATATTTGACTGATTCACAAATGTTTGAATTATTTTTGTCATTTTCAGTTACAGAAAGTAATATGACAAAAGGCATACGATAACATTGGATGGATGGTAATGGTTGATTTCTTAACCATGTGTATACATATGACGATGAAGGATCGTGTAATAATACTTCGTGTAGTTAATGAATTAATGTGAAACCACTAGGTTAGATCTCGCCTGAATTAGACCTATTATTTCATGGAATCTGCAATAAATGCGACTTTCTAAATGGGGTAAAAGAACTTAGGGTCGCCGATCTCTTCCAACTTGCCCCAAAGAAACTGACCAACAACATAAGCCCCCATAAGTTTGGCATGCCCAGCTTTCCATGCCCTTATCTTCTTCAAGCCCTTAAGGCTAAGAAGTCAACTAGCAGCAGGGTGGAGAGCAAGACTGACCATTAATTCAACTATTCTAACTCCACTATAAAAGAAGGTCCAACTACTTATGTGAAATCAGTTGCTTGAGAGCTTCGAGCTAGGTTATGGATGAGAGGCTAGGTACGGTTTGTTAAGGTGAGATGCATAAAAAATGATCTAGACCCTTGATAACTCCTAATCTCAGCCGCAAGAAGGGTCTAAACCCTTGATAACTTCTAACCTTAGCCCCATCTTATTAATTGCGCTTATAATGAGAATTGATCTGTTACATCTTGATGCACCACATTAGTATTGATCTTTAATTAAGATTGATTATTCAATGGTGGGAATCTCCTTTTACCACTCTCATCATAGCTTTCATTCTCACCAGAGCCCAACCCTACATATGATTGCATTTGTGTTTGTATATGTATATGTTTATATACATATAAGTGTATATATAATATATATACACACTAGAAATGTACCACCTACTATAGTTATATATGTCAATATTTCAATCTTTTTTGACTTATTTTATGAATTTGTGTGTTTTTGAGAGAGAGAGAGAGAGAGAGAGAGAGAGAGAGAGATAATGAAGTCTGTTGGTTATTAATTTTATACAGTATTTGTGGTGTGAATAGCGTTCAACGATTATCTTGTATTTGAACTTGTTTATCATTTGGTTATAAGCTAATTTTAAGTGGGCAATCATATTAATAAATTGAAAATATTGTATAAATATATTTGAATGTGAATGTACTTACGAATGAAATTTTCAAAACCAAGTTAAAAATCGATAAAAATACATCTCGATGTGAATAAATTAAAGAAAATAAAATACACATTTTTTTAGTATAATTTGTTTAATCAAAAAATTAATTAATTTTCTGTTAATAAAGATTTCTTTAAATTAAGATAAAATTATGAGTCTTCAAGACTAGATCTATTCATATAAAAAGAACTAGAAGTGTACTCGCGCAATGCAGTGAGATACATCGTGATTTTAATATTTCATTTTATTCTTTATCTCAG